TTATGCTTTATTATTGAAATAATAGAGTTTGTTGGTCAATTTTTCTGTTACTGTGAGTTAATTCAGTTTTACGAATACTGAGTTTGTGTTTCCACGAAGAAATATAGAGGATAACGTGCTGTTCTTAAATGGTAAGTTAGCAAGTAAACTATATTAGTGTATACTATGAATATGGGCTATTAGTAAATATTAGTTAAACTAACTTGTAAAACATGTAGCCGAAGAAATATTTCGTTTTATTTATCAGTAAGTGGACTGAATTTTCCATTCTTCTTTTGATAAATAATTTAAAAGAGACTGTCCAACAATGGAAACCGTTACAACACTGGTATCAAGAGTGGGCCTATTTTATAAAACATATGGAAAATGAATTGGTAATTGCAAGGATAAAACCAGTCATACCTTTCTCTGCATCCACTAAAACTTCTATCCTCAATCACTATTAATTATGAAATATGTAATATGAGAATATATATTGGCTATTCCTGTTACCATTACTGTTTGTCCACATGTGACTGCAGAACCTTTCTGAGCTACTCTAGCTATACTACTACCTCATTAAGTAACGAAATTTCGTAGGCAATTTCCACAGCATTTCCAAACGGGAGATCAACAGAATATGAGGAAAAAGTACTATGATAGGTATATCAGGTGCAATTCGAAATCATTTCAAACGTGAATGGATGGGGTAGTGAACAGAAAGCTATTCATCTTGATGCACATTTAAAAGGATCAGCTTTAGCAACAATTAGCAAACTTCCAATTGAGAGTCGTAACAACTACAATCATTAGTGACCGCCTCATAAAACAGATTTTGATATCATATCAGAAGGAATTTTCTAAAACAAAGTTTAGGAGCAGAGTAAGGAGGAAGGGCGAAACCTTAACTGAACATGCGAATAGGCTTGTCCAGTTATCTTATACAGATGTTCCACATGAAATGATGGATTTGTTGGCACACGACTAGTTTATTGATGCCATATTGGATGAAGATATTCGCATTATACTAAAGTAAAGTAAGCAAATAAAGAAACAAACATATGGGAAGGTGACAAAATAAAGAAATTAGATTGTTGAAAATATATCACCTTAAAAAACTTTAGTTTTATTTTCCATTTCCTTAGCGGTGACGTTTCGAGCAAACGCTCTTTTTTAAGCCAAATACAAGCCTGCCTGTATAATTGTCCTCAATTCAGTTAAGGTTACAGATAAACAGCCAAAAGCATCATCTAAAAATTATTGGTTCATGAGATCAACAAGGGTGGGAAACTTCAAGTTCTTCTGATGAAAGTCCAGAAGAAACCAAAGGATAAATTAGACAGTCGTTTACTCAGAATGAAAAATGTACACTACAGGACAGTAAGCATTTCAATTGCAATTTTAAAAGGTATATATATATAGCTATAAACCGTAGACAGAAGTCTATAAAAACGAAACTATTCTCAAAAGATGATAGAAAAAGGATATTCCAAGGATGAGAATACTTCATCTGCTCCAGTTGAAATATGGAGTGCGTTATGTCAACGAATTCATTCAACGAATACAATATGTTTATGAACCCGTGTTCTACAGCTACAAATGTTCGACCTAATCGGGTAATTTGAGGTTGGAAACTGTCTACAGAGATGAAGGAAGAAGAAAGACTGACGTGAGCAGTAAGTGGTCATAAAATTCCAGTAGGAGGAAAATTAGAAATCGCTCTTACAGCGTGAAGCTTCTCTACACAACATGATGTGGGGGTAATTGGTATCAAGGAAGAGTGAATATTGGGAATATATTTCATGTGGTTACATATATGTGAAGCTAGACTTACTCTAAACGTTTTCTCAGTTTGTGACCAGGAAATCCCTATGTACTACACAACAATTACACCATCAGTGGCGCAATTTCCAGTGATAATAAGGATGGAAGCACTGGAAATTAAGATAATTACCCAAAGTGTAACATAACAGAATCCAAGAAGTCGGTTGGTCCAAACCAAAAGTCATCCAACATGATCGATTTTGAGAGTACGTCAGTGTTAGAGTGGGCAACTGGTTAACTTTAGAGAGGACCTTGATAAAAGTTCTTAAACTTGCTGAGGAATCTAAGGTTCCTGTCGAGAATACTTCCATATTATCACCATAATGGAGCTACCAGTCGACTGATTCCTCCAATCATCTGTAACTGATGATAACTCCCCCACTGATAAGACAGCAAATGTCTATAAAGGGAAAGAGGTTCTTCCATCTTTGAACTAAATGTTATGGAAAATAACACCAGCAAAAATATTTAGTGACTAGACAATTTATAGACAGTAAATGACTAAAGAAAGAAGATTTTGTTTTGTTAGTAAACATTTTTGATTCTACTTTGTTTCATAGATTTCATTACTGATTTAAATGCCTATTATGAATATTAATGTTGTTAATTATCAACAGTTACTTTATTATCATGTATTGTTGTTTCATCAGAGGGAGATTGGACATTACATGATTATCAGCACGTGTGTTAATGACTAGAACCTTCTTGAAAGTTTAGGAAATTATCTGAGCAGTATAAAACGTATATTACGCTAGAGTATATAATTATTCATTAGCGAGCCTGTTATGTATGATGATTGATTATTCGGTTAACGAGTTTGTCTGTTATTGTCAGCCAGTTAGTCAGTTACTATGAGTTTGTTCAGTTTTATGAATATTGAGTTTGTGTTTCGACGAATAAATAGAGATGCGACAAAGTGCCGTAGGTACGAGGGAAGTCAGTAGTTAAGTGAAGCTGTTGTATTAGCGTTTACTGTGAAATTAGGCCTATCAGTGAACATCAGGGAAGCTCACTAATCGAAAAAATAAATATATTTTCTTATCCTTAAGTGGATTGAAGTTTGCATTCTTTTTATTAAATAATTATATAATCCGAAAGAGCCGACCAAACAATCGAAATTGCTACTGCAGTATCATGGTCACATACTACAAAGAGTTTTCAAATATTTTTGCTAAAGATAAATCTATCGTAAGCTAAATAATTTCTACTGCCACCTGGTATATTTAATCTGTAATTAAGATTATTTTATTATAGATCAGGTGTGACAATGAAATGTTATTTTGATACTAAATATTTTAATTTGTAGCATACTCACATTCCATGATTTTAGTTCTCTTTAAAAATGGTGTTTGGAAAACTAAATGGATGCTCCCGATAGCTCAGCGAGAAGCTTGAATACTTATAATGATAAAAATTGGAGTTCGATCCCGGTGGTGGGTAAAGCACAGATGGACATTGTGAAGTTTTGTGTTTAACAACAAACATTCCACAGTAAAATGACGTTGATATTTTCAATATAAAAATTCAGAATATCTTTCAGAAAACTTGCACTTTTGGTCAACAGCCAACACACAGGTAAAAACAAAACTACGTTTCTCAATAGACGTAATGTATTTTGCGAAAAAGAAAAATAGGTCATGTAAGATATCATGAAAATAACCTGCTGAGATCTCAAAGAAAGTTTATTTCATTTATTAATATATATACTCTTGGAAAGGAAAATCCAAAAATTTTGTTTATTCTCATGCTTGATGCAAAATTCTTAATTATCACCTGGTTTGTAGTTTTTGTTTCTGGTTGACAAAATCTGAGTGTAAAAACGTTAAGAATCTTGTCACGTTTCGCCATATTAGCATGGCTAACCTTCATTAAATATTAAAGGCACATACACGCAAGAAATTGTAGTCTGTTTAATGACTTCGGTGTTAGGTAAGCCAATAAAAACCGCAAAAACTAAGATGATTGCTGGAATAGATGGGTGCGAAATTGGACTTCATTAAGATCTATGAGTCGTAAGTAAGAAGAAAACAAGCCTCAGGACAGGTAAAGTCAATTCTTAAAAACTAACGGCTGGTTAGTTCGTGAGAAAGACGTTTAAGTACTTTGAAAGAAATAATGCGACACCTGACTTGCTTGCTAAGCCTAACCACCACGCTTGCTACTATAACGACAAACTACAGTCGAATCCCCCACCTTTAGAAGATGCCATATGATGAATAACCTGGTCTTTCTCGTGACAGAGTGGGCTGGAAGCATCTTTACCACCTGACATTATGGAAATTGTCTTGTTTGTCAAGCAGTAACGAAGAACCAATCGTAAATCCTCACTAGTGCTCTCCTGACAATCGAAACAATAACAACAGACGACCACACAAGGAAACAGCTCGTTACTGAGTTCCCACGGATTAAGAAAAGAAATGGCTCTTATAAATGTGCGCATTTTAAACTGAAACATTAAGTTATATACGAGTACGAAATACTGGAGGCCTATTTTGTCGCAATTCCTTATTATTTATAATATGTATACAGTTTATACACATATATTTCCGGTTTTGCTACAATACAAACAGTGCTTGAAATGAAACACCTAGTGGTTGAATGGATCCACGTTAACTTTTATCATATTGTATCTTAATTCCCAATTATATTAGATTTAAGTTGCTTGATTTTGATTCATATTCAATATTTTTTTTTTAAAACAAGATTTTCGGAATAAGGAGAACTGACCCTTCCGTCACAAACTAAAATTATTTTGTTGATTTTGTATCTTTCTTGTCTCGGAGATAGCACCCAGTTCTTAAAATTTCATCAACACATAGTTTTCTCGTCCACAAAGTATATGTGTGTAAATGTAACGTCATTATTCGCCATATAAATTTATTTATGAAGCCTCTGTTACTCTTTATATAGTTAAATCTCTAGTTTGCAAGGAATATGTTGTATTAATGTTTATTAAAAACGCAAAGTAAAGCCAATACAGATATTATGACAAACTGAATTTCTTATAAACTGAAGAATTTATTTATATATATAAAACTGAAACTTAATTACATTTAGTGCGATTAAAGAAAAATAAGTTTTAAAAGCCTAAATACAATATACTGAAATCTAGTCTGGCCTTTTTCTCAATGTGAATTGGTTTATTTCACCAAACAGTGACTATAATAATTGTTTTATTCTATTTAATTATCTTTCAGAAATGACAATAACAATCAAGCTGATTAGTGGTCCCATTCATATATCGACTGTAGGTCGGGACAGGGAACTGATACAAGTACCAGAGCCAATGTGAAGATGGCTTCCGAACCATATAATGTAGGCTAAGTGGAGAACGACAGTACCAAACACAGGCTGGTATTAACAAGCCACAATGAAGACAACACATGAAATGTACAATACATGTATCTTTGACGAGGCTTAAACCTGCTCAACAGATACAAAAGAGCTTCAAAGAAAAACAGGTTGGTTTTAGATGTTAATTCTATTGTAGAAACCGTCTTTTGTATGAAATGATTTATGGTAGAACAAAACCTCTGGTTTATAACGAATAAACTAAAGAACAATGTATCTTCCAGCATCAGCAATCAAACATCATGTGCCCCGAATAAGCTTTATTTTCTGATTCTAATTGTGCAAATAAATGGTCACGTTTTCACTTACGTGCTTGCATCCAAAACGTAACCTAAATGGCAATAGGGAATAAAATACTTTCCTCAATTTTTTGATTGCGTGATAAAGGCAACAATACCTCTTAAGTGCTGCTAGATGAACGATCAAAATAAATGAGATTATGCAAGCTGTGGTTAACTAAAATGATTGAGCTACATTTAATCCTGAATCTTTCTCCATTGTACCAATGAAAATATATTGGTTGTGGTTCAAATAAATACATTTCTTTTTTACAAGAAATGCTAAAGAGTGGAAAATGAGAGATTCAACAGAACAAGATACCTAATGAAAAGACCACTTTGATGTTACTGAATCCATATGCATCGTAAAACATCCCAAGGGACCGTTTTCACTACGTCTAATAAGTATCGTGATTAGCATGTTTTGTAAAGGCAACGTAAGAAATCAAAACATTATGGAAACAAATATCTGGCAAATGTCTATCTTATGAATACATTGAAAGGCATAAATGTGATTTCTTGTGCGTAATGTTACGTATGACGTAAAACGAAATAGGCTTCATTAATCAGAAAGTTTACGCAGTTTTTAACCTTGGAATGAAATACTTTACCTTTTTTCGCTCAAATAACATAAGAAAATATTTATTTACGATAATAATATAAAATATGAAGTATTTACTTATTCAAGTACCTTTGATTCTTTAAAATATGCCCATTCGTCTGAAAGAAATAGAAGTTTAGGGACATTTATTTTACTTTTTCTTAATATTTTAGTATTTCTGTATTTATACTCCCCATCCACAAAGTTGGAAATTCATGACCAAATCCCATCTGTTCTTAAGTTAGTGTTTTTGGGAAATAAAACGTTTCCCAAAGTCACTACAAGGCCTTTGCATAGTGGTTACATTTCTTTGATCACTTGCCATGAACCTACATTGCTAGATCCAGATATTAGATATCATTGCGTTGTTTGGAGTAGTGTCTAACCACCTAATTAAGTAATTAAAGTCGTTAATAAGCTAACAATTTCTTTAGTATTTTAGTCATGTAATTGTAGAAACATTGATAATATTAAAATAGTACATTTCAGCGCCAACTATACAATGAAACACATTTTTAGTGCTTTGAGTTTGACATCCATCATACTTAGATATATATATACATTTCACGTGACAACGATAAATTCTAACAATGATTGAAAGACTTCGCTGTCACTGATCTAAAACAATTGGTTTAAAATGCATGTTGGGGCAATTAGTTATGAAGTGTAAGAAATTATTAGCAATTTTTCTGCAATTCTTTGCAAGACTTCTAAGTCTGCAAGTTAATTGCAGCTTTGCCAACTTTAACTTTACGTATCAGAAGTTGGAAAATTACTCTTGTTGCTAAAAGTCTTTCAGTTCATTTTTTTAACCTTTATTGTTTAATTTTAATTCTTCCCAAAATTTTTCTTTACACTTTGATTTATTACTACTGTTTTTTCCTTCTTTTTTCTATCTTTGGAAATACGAAAGTAATGATGATGATGGTAAAGGAAAAGTAATCTTATCTGAATATAATGTATATGATACGAACAGGATTAAAACCAGTATTATGGTTTGTTTTATTAGCCCTTTTTTTTAATGCGAAGAGAATTAGACTAACGTCATTAAGTCATTACAGTTTGTTAGAGAAAAATGTTAACTCTAATACAAGCCCCCACAGGATGTATTACTGGTCTTATCAAGTAGTACATTTTATCAATGTTTAATCAGTGTTTGCCTTTTTGACGCTTGGAGACATTGGAGTCGTGAGCTGAATCCGACGTCTAGGTGCTGTATTTCTTTAGGTATGGGATGGGAATATTGTCTCTCACCAAGGACAGCCCCACACTGTCAGAAACAATTAACAAATGGCCGTGAATGCGAATTTTACTTAATTCCGCCATTTCCGCTAGGCGTCCAAGCAGTGCCTCCACGCATTGTCAAGTCTGACCTGGTTATCAGCTACTTAGACGCCAAGAAAACAACTTCGTTAATATTCTAGACTTGCAAGTCTTGAGAAACAAACGCACACACACATCACACACACAAACAAAAAATCGGGACAAGTACAGTGTCTTGTCAACTAGGATTGCTACAGGTACACACGTGACTATAATATTAAGAGGTGTGTTTACTTCTTAATTAGAAAGTCGCCGTTCGTTCAGCTCCTAAACCGTAGTCTATTCCTTTTAATATATATATTAATATCCTGTATTTGAGTAAAAAAAAGTAAGCGTAGTTGTACTTGGGTCTTGTATTTAGCCTAAATTCATCAGCCAAGTTCAGTTTGAAGGTAGTAGTCTAGCGTACAGGAAACCACTTTTAACGAACATGGAATCGTCTTGTCATCAATCATTATTAACGACAGTTGAGAATGCAATGAAAGTAATCACTCATTACTCTTTTTTCCCATTTGTTAGGAACCAAAGAAACACAATCCTATAAAGGAAATGCTGTGTGAAGTATTTTTCCACATTTAATGTTCTTAAAAGTCAGAAAAAAAAATAGTCGATGTCTTAAAATGGCTACTTTTAGTTATTATATACTTAAGATGCACCCCACCCCCAAGACTTGAATTTCAACCATTCCCTTTTCTAGATAACATGCACTTAATATTAAAGTACCTGCATTAATTTTTATTAATTTCTGTTAAACAACACGTCTGGGTTAGAAATAGTCTAACTGACTGCTATAGACTGAGCAGAAGTCGAAACATAGACTTAATTAAATTACAAGTAGGTAGAATTCGAACCCTTAGTTTTGCTAAACTGTTTTTTTGTTTGTTTTGTTTGAAGTTAAGCACAAAGCAACAGAATGGGCTATCTGTGCTCTGCCCACCACGGGTATCGAAAACTGGATTCTAGCATTGTAAGTCCGTAGACATACCTCTGTGTCACTGGAGGGCACTAAACTGGGAATAGTGGAATTATAATCCGTAATTATATTTGTTGTGTGGATGATCTAACAATAGAAACTATTGAGTTTGAATGTTCAATTTTCTTGTTTTCAATTCACAAAACTATAAAATTCTCAAGCAATACATTGATTTTCAAAAGCGGACGAACATCGTGTTTAAATCCAATAGCTTGATGTACTTAGAAAACTTCCGCGGCAAATGTGGACATGGGTTTTAATCTCATTCAGTATCAGAAATTGAACAACAATTTTATAAGGCTCGTATCTTTTCACCAATGAATTAAAATATCGGAAATGGATCCAATAATAGATATATACTTCAGTTACGTGTTATTTTGGAAACGTAGAACAAATAATTAAATTATGCTTTTTTTTTTTAAATAGAGGTTTTGCTTTGCCATACCTAAAATATCATAAATTCCAATTATCTTTTAATTGCTCTGTGTAGTGTATTAATGCCAATTGTAAGAACATATAAGTTCTTATAAAGTAAAAATAAAAATTAATTTAACAATATATATAAATCACACTATTATCTGTTGTACCCAGTGCCGACGAGGCCTTTCGTTCAATACCACGGCTCATCAAGTCGACTGGGATGCAACAGGCATAATCAAATCAAATGGAAAGTTTTACCTGAATGAGAATGAAGTATATACTTCGTACTTTTATTTCTTCGTAGTCTGAAACAGTTAAGAAAACATAAACTGTAAGTGATATTATGACACAAACAATCGAAGTCTCATAAATTTGCTAAATAATGAGTTAGCTCTATAATAAAGGATGTAGAGAAAGAAATCCCCTTGTGTCGGTATACTTGCATAATAAAATAATCTCAATCTCTTTCTCTATAACCCCCAAGTGGCGCAACGGTACGTTTTAAGGCTTACTACGTTAAAAATTGGGTGAGCACAACACAGATAGCCCAATGTGTAAATTTGTGCTTAATAACAAGCAGATTTTTCTCTCTCTCTCTCTCTCTCTCTCTCTATATATATATATATATATATA